ACCCCTCTTCTCTTCGAAAGCGCTATGGAACTTCAGAATCGACCCCTCGCCGTGGGTGGACGCAAAGTTCAAGCCGTCGGCCGTCAACATCACAAATGCTCAGGTGCCTGATCCTAGTTGGGTGTGGGACTGGAAGAGCTGGTACGTGGATATGAGCCTTGATGTCGATGAGGAAGGCTGGCAGTATAGCCTGCTATTCAAAGGCTCCCCATGGCACGGCAATCATCCATGGTTTCACAGCTTCGTGCGGAGGCGGCGCTGGCTGCGAAGGCGGATCAAGCAGAAGCTACCGCCAAAGTCAAAAGAAACCCAGAGAGAGCGACTTTTTGGTGAGACATTCAGTATTGGCACAACATTGGCTAGATCAACTACGATGGGGACCGGGACTCTGAGCGCCTTGAACAGCACATCAGTTTCACTAGACGAAGAGGTCAGGGACATTGCAACATTGATGAGAAAGCTGAAGAAGGCGGCAATCGATCGCGAGAAGATCATCATCATACACAAGTTCATCGACGATGGGGGCGAAGAGCTGCACTACTTGGCGGAGCAGGTTGGTCCATCTATTGTCAAATCTCTTGCTGGACCTATGCTAACTCATATAGATACCGGCCATCATGTCAATGCTAATCTTCCAGAATTCGCGTCGGCAGCTTCTCTCCACACTCATGGATCGGTTCGATGCCGCAAAAAGCCACCGAGAACAACACGAAAAGGAGGGCAAGGCAGAGGGCGAGGCAGAGGAACGCCGAATCAATAATCTACTCAAGGCTATCGAGGCAGCTGACAATGAATGCAAGAAATTGGAGTACTGGAGTGATATTAAAAACCTCGCACAGGAAGGCAAGGCCGGTGAAGCCACAGAGCCTTCGAGAGGATGGGACGAGAAGTGGCAAGGCTTGGACGGGAGCGGTGCTAAGCACCCTGAGCCTGAGGACCGTTCTTGATAGCAGGTCACATGGAGTTTGGCGAGCTGGGTGATATCCTTGGGTCTTGGCATCGCATGCGCTGAAAGACTCAGCGCTGGCTGCAATGGTGTGGACATACATATTGTAATTAGCATAGGCATTCAAGACATACATGACTCCTTGTTCTTTTTGGCTCATTCTGATTGTATCTTCCTGACTCGTATCGGCCCTTTGATATCTTCCAACCACTCTACACCAACAACCTCCCCTTTCTGTAACACCTCTACCTCCCGGGCTTCTCGCTTCTCCCAGACGATCTCTCGAATGTCTTCCATAGTGCTCCGCCAGTCTGATGCGTTCAATACTCGTAGTTCCTCCTTGGACAACGCTCGGGCAATTTCAGAGGGGCAAATCGTCTTTGGGTAGTCCCTGGAGCTCAAAAGTCGGTTTGCATGGCGTAATATAATCTCTCTCTGGGCATCATCCAGGCCCATTACGGCGGTCCCCAATGTTTTACTTGGTCTTTGCAGAGTATGGCTTGGGGCGTTTCGAGGGTATTGTGTCAAGACGGCATTTGGCACTTGATCGAGATAATGCTCGAATGGTGTTCATGCCTAGCTTCTGCATCTCCGTAAAAACGCGATCGCCAGCAAGGGTGCTACTGGGTTAGCCAATGCCTTGACGTCAGAGCGCCCAATCGGCGCGCTGCAAAAGCAAACCTCAACCACTCTCACACGCTCAACCGAAACTGCCCGCATAAAGGCTGTAAGGGAGGTGTGCCCTTGTTGGGTAGTAGTTGTCTTGTGATGCTGCTGCGGATACCCCACGCTGCCCGTGGGCTAGTAGCGGGGCGCTCTTTTGCTCCTGCATCAAGCCCTTATTTATTGACCTCAACATCCCCGTCGAGCTCTTCTCTTCTCCAAACACTTGCCTTCGCTCCTACACGCCCCCATTCAATCTCTAGTCCATCAATTGGCAAAAGGCATTGCACCTCGTATACACGCTACAGAATGGCTGGCAAGGAACCCGAGACACCCAAGGAGCTTCGCAAATACCTCCAGCAGAGCCATGACCGCATCTTCGAGAACAATAAGAAATGGGCCGATGAAATGAGGAAGAAGAAGCCCGAGTTCTTCACGGATCTGAGTGCGGGCCAGAATCCAGATTATCTGTGGATTGGTGAGTCAATCGCTCCTTGCAAACTCTCAAACTCTATCGTCACTGTCCCACCCCAAACAAGCTGGAGGGGATCAATTATTGCCAAAGAGGCATGATGAGCACGCAATATGCAAACAAAATTGCCATCCGTGCTAACAGTCATGACTAGGCTGCTCTGACTCCCGTATTCCCGCCGAAGCCATTACGGGCCTCGAGCCTGGCGAGATGTTCATCCACCGCAACATTGCCAACCTCGTAAACAACATCGACCTCAATGTCATGTCCGTTGTCAACTACGCTGTACGCCATCTCAAAGTGAAGCACATCGTGGTATGCGGGCACTACGGCTGTGGTGGTGTCAAAGCCGCCATGACGCCCAAGGACATGGGGCTCCTCAATCCTTGGCTACGAAATATTCGGGATGTGTATAGGTTGCACCAAGAGGAGCTGGACAATGTGGTGAAGAATGGAGGCACAGAGGAGGACAAGTACAACCGCCTGGTTGAATTGAATGTGTACGAGCAGTGCAGGAACGTCATCAAGACCGCAGCTGTGCAGCAGTGCTGGGCTGAGAACGAATTCCCGGTCGTGCATGGGTGGGTGTTTGGATTCACTGATGGGCTGCTCAAGGATCTCAAGTTTGATCATGAGGGCCAATTGAAGGAGATCCAGAAGATCTATGACCTGACCAAGGACTTCTAGGTGATATGATGGGTTGACGAGTATAGGAAGCGAAAGGATAGTGAATTTTGCAAGGAGTTGAGGTTGTAAGTCGGAGTTGGAGAGTATTCATGTACCAATGATCAGGCGAGTAGTCGGGAAGTATGCGACAAGTGCGTTTTGATAGGTTTTTGCTTCCGTGTGGAGAATGAAGTCATACATGTTTATCAGAACGCAAATGATCTCTTGTACATTCTTCTTTTTTTTTTCGGCGCGCTCTGGCATACAACACGGACTTAACCCATTATCACCCTGCAGATACGAGTTGCTGGCGTGAGCCCAAGGCCAGACCTTGGCGCGGACCAAAAACGCTCTCGTGTCTGATTCGCTACCACCCTAGAACATTTACCTGCACCATATTCCTGAAATTCTATGATATGCCCGCTTTCAACGGCATTAAGAGCGTGATCCTGCAGAGAGCCCTCAGCCCTCAGTTGAGGCTTCCACATTACGTCTGAGCCGGACCAAGTCGCGATGGAAGAAGTCAATGGGTTCGGAGTTAGCCTTCCAAGAAGACGGAGAGTGGTATAGCATCTCGTGTGGAAGTTGAGGTATAAAGGAAGTGTACACCAGTCTTTCCAAGTCAGAACTCAGTATCACACACTGTCAAACACTTCACTACACCTACATCCCCATAGCTCCAAAATTTGAAGCAATACCAACACCACCACCAACAATGTCCCGCTACGCTGAAGCCCACAAGATAGCCAATCTCCGAGGCCCAGGCGATGCCCGGCCAACAGCCCTCCAAATCATTGAAGATGAGGGTCTCACTGGCAAACTTCAAGACAAGGTCTTCCTAGTGACTGGTGTATCATCCGGGATTGGCATCGACACAGTAAGGGCGCTTCATACGACAGGAGCTCACGTGTACGGCACCGTACGCAATGTGCCCAAGGGCCAAAAAGTCGTGGATCAGATTTTGAGCGAGAAACACGAACATGGCGGAAAGATCGAGCTCATTGAAATGGAACTCGACAGCTTCGAAAGCGTTCGAAAGGGCGCTCAAGACTTTCTCTCCAAAAGCCAGGGGAAGCTCAACGTCTTGATTGCCAACGCAGGTGTAATGGCGACACCATACGGCAAGACTAAAGATGGATTCGAGATTCAGTTCGGCACCAACCATTTAGGACACTTCCTCCTCTTCCACCTGCTCAAGAATGCCCTGCTCTCCTCCGCAACACCAGCATATCCAAGCCGCTACGTGAGCGTCTCAAGCATGGGCCACGCCTTTGGCACTGTAAACTTCGACGACTACAACTACGACAAGGAATACGATCCCTGGAAAGCCTACGGGCAGTCCAAGACAGCGAATGTCTGGATGGCAAACTCCATCGAGCGACACTATGCATCCCAGCATCTCCATGCCACCTCACTGCATCCCGGGAGCATTCCCGAGGGCTCAGGACTTGGCAAATACATGCCAGACGAGGTGAAGACTGCTCTCTTGGGTGACTTGGAGACGCACCGCACGTTCAAGAGTGTTGCGCAGGGTGCTGCGACACAAGTCTACGCTGCTGTGAGCGCGGAATGGGCGAGTAAGGGCGGCAGGTATCTCAGTGGGTGTGTGGAGCAGAAGAGTCACGAGGAGAGGACCAAGGAAGATGGAATGTTTCACAACGCTAATGAAGGGCATGCGGCGTGGGCGTATGACGAAGAGAACGAGGAGAGACTTTGGAGGGAGAGTTTTGGCCTGGTGGGTTTACAGGCAGAGTAACTTTGGCAGATTGATATTTAGACAGGATTAGGCTTTTTAGTGGGAGTTATGCCAGATCTTCTCCTTAGGGCAACAGAACTAATGTAATCTTTGCGTTTGCTGATATATCTTCTATTGGGAAAAGCGTGGTACTCACCAGTCAAGATTTTGACTCGCACTCAAAACGCTTCACAGTTCTATCCTCAACAATGCCTATACTGACAAGGTTGTTGATGTTTGTATTCTCTCATAAGAGACTCGGGGATTGATAGCACAATCTCACAGTTTCGTAGATGTGATGGCAAAAAGGTTAGCTGACAGCGACATACCTCGCCTTGCGATCTAGCACAGTATATCACTCTCCAATGTCTTTACGTGTTCACCTATTTAAGAACTGAGATTGTAAAAAATCTGCCTCTTGTAAGTGCAAAGACAGGACTAAAAAGGGGCAAAAAAAGATGAATACAAGCCCGATGCGGGGGTCTAGCGGATGTTAGGAACCAGCTTCGAACGAGCGGTTGTGTGGGGGAGACTAACCGAACCCGCAACCTTGAGATTGCAGAGAGATCAATCGTTTTTGGAAAACGTGAATACCACTAAGAGTCTCACGCTCTACCGATTGAGCTAACCACTGAAAGGGAGTTAGAGATTGCTCTGGGAGATAACTTGGACGGGGCTACTAACGGCATTGTCTTTGTTGATGGCTTTGCTGCTAAATGTAAAATATATATCGAGAGCAAAAATTTGAAATTACTTGAGATTTTGGGCGCGGGGCCGAAGTGAGGGGTGCAGGACTAAGCGGTTCAGGAATGTGCGGGGTAAGAAGGGCTTTTTGCTCGGCTGTAGGACTCTACGATAAGCTGGGGTTGCCGTTGACGGGAAGATGAGATGGTGGCTTTGGCCCTTTGACAATGCTTAGCGAGCCCAGTAACCAGTCGCAAAGGCAACACGTTCGGCTTTGTTAGTCAAAAGGAAAGGATTCGCTCACTGGGAAACGGCCCAGAACATGATCATCTGATTCATCAAATAGCCTCTGTTGGTCAGAAGCCAGTCCTTGCATTGTTGCAAATATTTCCCAGTAAACTTTGATTGATGAAGCTTGACTCCGTTCTACCATTAGTGAGCGGCTCAGGCAAGATGGGTTTGATGTCAAGATCACTGGGTGAATCGTCTATTGATCTTGGGTGTTGATAGTGCCACAGCACCAGTGCAAACGTGCAACTCTAAAACATTCTTGATCGCCAAGGGCATTTGTATCCTACTCAATCACGCTTCTAGAAGCGACCTCACATGTCTTCGAGATCATTTGGCCTGTGCGCCAGTATCCTGCTTACTGTCAGTTCACGTCAGATTTGAGCATGGGGTGCTATCTTACCAAATACACCTGATAAAAGTCCATTTTCACTCTTCCATCCTCCTTGACCAGATGGGCTCTTGCCGCCCAATCCAGTCCAGAATCACCTCCTGCCTTCAAACCATACTTGACAGTCCCATAGAGCATTACTTCATCGGAGTTTGAGCCAAAGGGGAAAATCTTGACGGCTTTATGCGATCGACTAGCGACCTTCTCCCACATGCTCTTGCGGAGTGCGAGTATTTCTTGGGTGGAGCGTTAGTAGACGTAGGGAAGATATTAACACAAGCTCTGTGAGAAGGCGCACCATCAGACCCCTTGGCCTTCTTCGATGCCATGATCAACGTCGCATCCTTTGTGAAGTATTCAATGTACTTGTCGTGCGCATCGGGCGTGTCTGATGTTGCATAGAAGTCTTCGAAGAACTTCTTGAATGCTGTGTCAAAATCGAGAGATGGGTATTCGGAAGTGTAGGCGCTCATGGTGGAGGTGTTTTACACGGCTTTAGATTTTCTACCGCAATTGGTGATGGTTGCGGACATGTTCATAGCTATCCATATACTGCAAACCTGAGGTAGCGGAACGGTATCGGATGCGGGACCAGTGCGGAATGGAGCAGTGTGCATGTCGGAGAAAATTCGGTCAAGTTTAAGATGCACCAACGAGATCTAAACGGCATCGCGATTAACTAGCCTATGCAATAGAGCATGAAGCTTTAAGAAAGAAAATAATGTTAGTTGGCATGCATACCGATATAAGTGAGCAAAAACGGCTCGTAGTTGTACCGGGAGATGTCCATCACAAGCAGTCTTCGTCTCTTCCAACAGACGTCAAGATTACTAGCAACAGAAAGGGTTATAAGTAAAGTGGTTAGCTATACCTGTTGGAATTCCATACAGGCGCGCATGGGCTCAGCCCACCCTCAGGCGATTCATGAACTGATGGCACTTGGAAAATGCCACTGGCTTAGACAATTGGTATATTGAAAGTCTCCATCTTGTTGTGAAGAGGATATTCTGCTCTGTCTCTATACTCCATCTAAGATCCAGCCATCAAATCGTTCGAATCGTCTACAGCCCTCGCCTTCCCACCTCTTCCGCCACCCCTCCCCCCACGGCCCCCTCGACCCCCTCTTCCACCCCTCTTTCCCTTCCCTTGAGCATCCCCAACCTCCTGTTCCCACTCCTCAATGTTGACGACTACGCCCTCTGGCAACTTTCCATCGCTCATAAGCACCCCACCACCTTGTTTCCTGCTCTCCACACGCTTGAAGAACTCATACGACAGGAATCCCTGCTCGTTGCCTTCCGTCAGAATAACCCCATTTTCGCTGATAAAGAACTTGATGCCTGCGGCTAAAGCGGCGGAGATGTCGATGTAGACGAGGACTGAAGAATTCTTGCGCATGCCAGAAATGACTGGTGCAGCTTCCTTTTCTTCTGCCGAGCCAGTAGAGGAAACGAGGGATTTGAAGCCTGCGGGAAGGCCAGAGGCGAAGTGAATGTGATTCCTTCCCATACGCCGCAGACCACCGCTCTTCAGGATTAGTTTCCAGGCAGGCTCATCGGTGCCATGAACAACAGCCTCTGGCACATTCCCTGTTTCTGGCGTGATTGGGACAAGTAAACCTTCTGTATCAACTTTGATTGAGTGGCCCTGGTTGGCGCGGATGAGATAGTCTGACGGATTCTCAGATTCTGGAATGGGGTCGAAGCCTTCCGGTTGAGGCGTTTCCTGCGGCGGCAATGCAGCTTCTGAATCTGAATCGTCTTTGAGTGATGAGGCTAGGATCATAGAGAAGCGCTGTTTGTCGTTGCTGGCGACAACTTCGCGGAGCTCTTGGAATGTGATTTTCAAACTCTTCAGGGCCTTGGTGTCCAACTATGCAAAGTTAGCATTTGTTATACGAAAACTTGAAATTCAAAAGTAGTATATTAGTCTCCATTTTTGTGATCACTTTATATTTTGTCGTGTTTATTCATGCCACCCTTAGGCAGAGCGGTTGTAGATATATCGCCTGACATAGCAAAATAGCGATACTTACAGCATCCTGTACATTAACATACCCACCTTTCCCCAACTTCAAACCCTCGGAACCAGCACCATGCCTCAGCAACCAACTAACTTTCCTTGATACCTGCTGCTCTCTAGGCTGGTTTGCAGGATTGCGACTACCGCCGCCGCGTCCACCTCTACCCATCTCTTTGAGTACTCTGGTGAAAAGTCTGCGTGTAATTTTGCGGGGTAAAATTGAATTTGTGGGGAGATTCGAGAGCGGTGTTTATAACTTGAGTTGGAGCCTGGATTGAAGTTTAATGACTTGAAATGAGTCAGGTGCTGATGTACTAGAATGGGAAGGGCGGTGGAAGTTGGCGCAAAGGGGAAAGCTGGGGTTTGTGTGGCGAGCATCATGTTGATTGGTTCGTTGGGAGCACCAAATGAACACCACCAAATTCGTTAAATGTTCTGAAAAACGAAACATCATCGAAAGCACATTCGCATTAAGTTGTCAAATTTGAATGACTAACGGGCCTTACCTATAACATTGTATTTTATGTTTCCTTAACTATCGCGTTCACGCGATGGGGCGGGCTTGTTCTCAAGGCTTCATAGAAGTAGGACAGCCACCATCTCCGACCCTGACGTACTGACGCCCGCCTGTAAGCCGCCAAGCCGCCGTTTAATGCCAGTAGGTGTACATATAACTGGTAATCATGGGTGGATAATCATTGCAACGAGCACATCGATCATTGATACAAAACCCTGCCTCCTCAAACTATGTTCCGTATCCACTACCCTCAATCAAAATACCAGTGACTGGTCAAAAACAATGATCTCAGAGCGGATACCATGAATAGAAGTATGTGTACTTTAAGGCGTTGTAGTGGGTCTGCAAGAATAGTTTATCAAGCGTTGTGGCAAAGTAGTCACTTATTGCTGTTGGGAAAGACAGTAGATTCCAGATCCTTGGCCAACAATTGCAACATCGTTTGGTGAGCTGCGCTTATACTCTGGAGCCTCTAAGTTTGGGTACGGATGCGAGTGGTCTTTCATGTTCAACTTCTGATGCAAGCTAGTGTATCCAAATGAGAGAACGATGCCTCAGCGCCCGGGCGGGATGTTGGTGTGGTGATTGCTTTGCGTGAAAACGATGATATCGACGTGTGGAAAAGGGGGACACGAGCAGCTCGAGTAGCAATCCTAAGGTGTATACCTCGGCGGTGGCGCTTCCATATACGCGCTGTCAACCTCTCCTCTATGCTGGGCAATCCTCGCGGCGTCCATTCTCTCAATCTCGTGCGACCCAGGAGCCGGATCCAACCCTCCAAATCTAGTACTGACCAACTTCTTCGCACCGTTGCTATTCGGAACGCTCTTCTGCTGCGCTAGCTCAGTGCCCTGCTCAATAGTATGTGGGTGCTCTTTCTCTTCGTCAGGATTTCCGCGCCGTTTAGCGCCGTAACAACATCCACGGCAGCAGAACAGGAACAGAACAACAGCAGCGATGATGGAACCGATCACTGCACCTGCTATAGCGCCAGGGTGTAGTTTCGGTCCCCCTGCATCATCGTCGTCCTCATCGTCTGAGTCTTCCTCAGAGCCGTGCATGTTTCTCGCCGTGGTGGTAGGCGTCATCACCACGATGGTAGGAGCAGCACTCACAGTGTCCACTAAAATAAGTGTCGGGCCATCATGCACTATTGGGTCTCGGGTACTAATATCGTCATTGTTGCGTTGTTCAATGAAGTACATCTTCATCGCCACCTCACCCTGATCCCCCGGGAAGAGCGAGGATTGGACAAGGACAGCTTGGGCGTAGATGGATTCTGAAAAGTCGTATGTGCCGTACCCGCTGTTGTTCTGGGCTTTGTCCAACTTGGTTTCGTATTCTATGGCGATCTTGGAGTCGGGGCTGAAGTATGAGCTTGGCCAGTAAACTGATAACTGTTAGCAGGGCGGGTAGGGGTTCGTGAAGAAAGATCATACTGACATGGAATGTCTTTCGATGGGATACATATCCTTGTGCCATTGGGAGGATAGCAGTAGGGCATATTTGCGGCGGTTTGACACGCTTCGATGCCAGCTAAAACAGTCGAGTTTGGCTGGAGAGCCGTTTGTGAGAGACAATCAGCTACCTGGGCGTTAGCCTGATAAGTGTTGACAATGATGAGTTACCTACTGGAAGATGTGGCCATCTTGAAGTCCTTCACTATCCTTTCTCAACCCGTTAGGAAGCTGCAATCAAAAGCGTGAGTCGTCTCAAGTCCAGCACAGCTGTAT